ATTGATTTATTTTAGGTTTTCACGTAAACTGAAATCATAACCGTATTTCATATTCAAATTATTGGAATTAAATCGTATTAAAGTTTTGAGACTAACATATAAAAAACTAACCATGGAAGAGGACTTAAAGAAAAATGTATATTGGAATCAAATCACATTAAAGACATAACCAATAAAACATTTAAGTTATTTTTTTCCTTCTTTTTTTTGACAACAACTTAATAAATTTATAACGGTTCAGAAATGCAAATTGTTGCACAAGAGTTTACATTAAAAACATCATTAAAAAGACCAACACTCTTTGCAAGCCTATTGGCCTTAGAGTCAAAAGTACGTGAAATGATCAAGATGGAGAAAAAAGTAAAAACATTTTTCAATTCAGAAGAAGTAATGTATTACATATTAAATTCATAAAATGATAGGGTAACTACTGCAGTGAGGCAAAGGGCCAAAGTAAAGAGCAAGTGCTTAACAGTAACAATGGCATTTTGGTCCATCATGGAGACGTTTGCAGAAACCGCCTTTTTTACTATCACATCCATCAAGACACCAACTATTACATCTCCTTTCGTCTTGCCGCGTTTTGCAGGATCCGAATTTCGCGTGTGTGCTACAACACAATGACCTCTCGGATCCTTCAACAGCTACAAAAAAAGCAAACAAGGATTTTCATCTTTAAGAACCATTTACATATTAAACAAGAAGTGTGTATACTTGCTGCTATATATACACATGAACCACCTACCTAAGTTTATTTTTCAATTGGAAACTAAATAAACACTAAAATGAATATTTAGTAAGATATTAAAAAAAAATCTGTCATTGTTGTTTGTAACCTTTTTAAAGATTTTTTGTTCTTAAAATCGCGTGACATCTCAATAAACATAAGCACGACTCTAACATATTATATACTCTAAATAAAACATGAAAGTATCCACAAAGATTTGTATTAAAAGATCAAGTTATATGACCAGAGACTAACCTATAGAGAACAGAAGAACAATTAGCATTGCAAAAGACACGA